TGTAAATAGGATCACAAGTCCGCATCTTGTACAGCAATTAACCACTAAGAAGAATATATGCAGTGTATTATTTGTTAAAACTGTCCTTCCGATTTGATTTGAAACTGTCTCATTCCTATCTGTTTGTCAATAAAACTTTGAAAAAAATAAATAAATTATACACACACACACACACGTGCTGTTGATGTTGCCACAGAAAAATATACTGAATCCTTTGGAAGTACTTACATGTGAAAGATAAAGTCCTTATTCTCAAGGAATGTATAAATGATTAGGAGAGAGAAGATATCAGGTTCTGAGTTAATGACACAGTAAAATATTTAGAAAGCCTCTCCAAACAGAAGAAAATCAAGTGCGGTTAGTGACAAACACCTTCTTAGTGAAGGTGACTAGTCCAGTTTTACCTCATCTCATAAAGGGTAAGTAGCATGACCAGAGGATGTAGAGGTGGGGACTAACCGTGAACATACCCTAAGTAAGTCTGAATGATTAGAATGGAGAAAATATTTGACGCTTATTTTTCTTAATGTTAGAAGGAAATGTTAAAAGGATGATTTTAATTTTTTTTTACTCTTGTATATTCTCACTGTTCTTATTCAAGTATTAAACTTTGGTATTCGTTTTGAAGATAATGAAAGTCCATGTAAAGACTGTGGCTTAAACTTCTAAAGAGCAGACTGACACAAAGACAGTATGCTTATTTGGTAAACATAATACATTTACTTACTGTATCCAAGGGCCACTGTGGGTTGGAACTAGAATCAAAAGTTAGGAACTTTCTTGCATTTACGTTATAGATATTTACTAAGGATACTAGATATAAGGAAATGTGATAGTGATCAAAAGACTGCTGTGTGGGGCCGGGGAGATGGCTCAGTAGAATAAGCGCTTGCCTTGGCAAGCGCAAGGGTCTGAGTTCAATCCCCAGTTCTGCCAAAAAAAAAAAAAAGAATGCTGTGGCCAGTAGTAAACAAAACACAGAACAGTTACTTTCCTGCCAGAGGGCTTATGATGTGATTCCACATAAAGCAGTTACACAGTGAAGTGATGGGAAGGAAATGGACTGTCTCAATTACTTTTTTCTCATTGCTGGGACAAAATACCCAACACGCAAATTTAAGGAAGGAAAGGTTTATTATTTAGCTCACAGTTTGTTTCAGTTTATACTTGGCTGGCTCCAAGGCAGAGTGGCACATGACAGAGGGCAGCAGTTCATGGTGCCAGAAAAGAAAAAGGGCAAAGGGAGGAGCACGGCTGCAGCAGCTAGCAAGCCTCTCGCCCCTCCTTATGTTGTATTCAGGCAATCAGCCCCAGGGTGGGTGTAGAACTCACACTGATAATCCCAGCATGGGATCATGAATCAATCACAAACTCTAGAAGCCACCCCATGACTGCATGAGGCTTTGGAGGGACACCTAGACACAAACCATAACAAGGACCCCAGATGGAGTAAGTGGGAGACAACTATGAGCACTTAGGACAAGAAAACAGGAGAGACAGCAGTGAAGACCTGATAACAGGATGTGCAAAGGCTGTGTGCAGGACTGGAATCAACTTAGGTGTACGTGGAGGGGCGCACCAGTAGAAAGGCACCTACAGGATTTTATTTGCAGACAATGGGAGGGTGGAAAGCCTGATCCAGTTTACTCGAGCAGACCTGACAAACATTTTATTGGAGAGGAAGAGGTAAGAAACGATAGAGGTATCAAACACCCAATTGTGCATGAAATGTCAGTGCAACTTGTACAAGCTGGGTCTCCAGGCTTGGAGGCTGCTTGCTATTTTATTTGACTGCTGGCTTAGGAAATGGTGAACTTCAGGAAGACAGGGAGGACACTGAAGTAGTAGTTGATGTGAGGTCTCCATTGTCTTGACAACAGGATAGGGTTTGTTTTAAGTCCTGAAGTAGCTCAATTTCTTGTTCTAGCTGCTTCAGTCTTTCTTTAGATTCATGAATTTTATTCTCTATTGCTTTGAAAAGAAAAAAAGTGACTTAGATTCTTCAGTAATTTAGTTAGGAATTACATTGTTTCCATCTCTTTTACTTGCAAGTAGAGTCCACAGCACTGTGCCGCAAATAAAAAGGATCTAGTCTTGTGAGCAGGAGTTGCTTCTCTTACCCCTCCTGATTTAGGATGGAATTCCAGTGGTTATAGCACCTAAAGCTGTATGTCTTTGATACTCTGTATATATTTCTAGTAAACAGAGTTTCTTTTCCCCGTCTGAGAACCTGAGCACAGTGACTGTGTAACAGTCACACTGCACTATTACAGATTTGTTGAGACAATGGCTAGAATAGCAACAATAAGGGCAAGTCTTTCATAAAAATGCATCCAGTTCTTAATGTTATATAAAGGCTTTGGTTTTATTTAGAAGTACGAAAGGCTTTATTGTGGGAACTAAGGCAGTACCTCAAAATTGATGTTTTACAATACAAATTAAACTTTCTGCACACAGCTATGTAACTACATACTTACAGGTAATTTAATTTTCAGTTAATTTGAAACATCAGGCTAAATCAGACATGAGGGTAAGCTGTGGTATCATAAGTTGAGCCTTTTAGACTGGTTTTTATGTACCCAGGTACTGCACTGTACATGTGCCCCCAGCTAGCCCATCAAATACTTTAACTTTTGTATGGTAAAATGGTGGCACATGCCTGTAATTCCAGAACTTGGGAGGCTGAGGCAGGAGGATCACCATGAGTTTGAGGCCAGCCTACAGTATATAGCATGACTGTGTCAAAAGGAAAAAAAAAAAAAAAAAAAGTCCCCTATGAAAGAGAGCTTTCTACAAGATTTTAAGGGAGCCTTAAAAAAAAAAAAAGTAAGGATACTCCCATTAGCTGGTAACTGGAAGAGGCTGTTAAAAGATACATTATTATTTAGGGGGGGATACTAGAAATTGAATGCAGGGTCCCATGCTTGCCAGGCAGTGCTGTGCTGCTGAGCTATATCCCAGCTCAATACATTATCTTATATTTTTTAAAAATATTTTTTCAGTTGGTTATAAATGCAGCCATACCAAATTGAAATAAAAATATATAACTTAAAACCCAAATGAAAAAGGTTGTATATACATGAAATACTGTTTTTCTCATAGGAAAAACTATTGTACTCATACCATGAAAAAGAGCAGTGTGCAGCACTGTGTGTGCACTGTGAGCCATTCACACCAAATTCTGCATGAATCTGGCTCCCACACACACCCAGCCGGTGCAGTGTACAGTGTGTATGGAAGCCATGGCGGAGATCAGATTAGAACCATAAAGAAGATTCAAAAAACTGTCGGTTTATAGAAAGGTCAGAGTCTACCTCTCCCAACCCAAACATCAGTATTCCTATTCTAAAAAAAAAAAAGTTTTGTTTTTTCCTGGTGAACTTTAGAATCAGTCACATCGCAACCCTCCCCCACTGGATTAGCTTTGAAGGTTAGTGCTGGAGAGCTGAGGCTTTACCCTTTCTGTGTGTGAGTAGGGGAGGGAGCTGCAGGACTGTTTCTCACAGCCCTACACCTGCAGAGGGCAGAGAGGCTGCAGGAAGCCTTGCTAGCTCCACCCTGTGTCTACACCAGGCCAGCATGCTCTCCAGTTTTGGAATTATTTTCTGAGTTTTATTTCTGATTATAAAAGTATTTCTATGTATGTAAGATATTTGGAAAATATAGTACTAAAAGAACATAAAAGAAATCAGTACAATGCAACCACCTACGAATAACCTTCCGCTATATGTAGTTTTTCTGTGTGTACATGTATTTACATTTTTTCTGCTGTATATATGTGTCACAGTTTTGTAATGGGCTCTTTCCATTTAATAAAACAGTATTTTTCTAAAGTGTTTTCTTTGATCTTTATAGCCTCATACTATTTCATTCTAAATTGTTTCAAAATTATGCTTTTTAGTTATAAATCATACCTGCATTAAATTTTGCCAGTGTGTCTTCAAACAATCCACAGTCAAAAAGTGAAGTCCCAATTTTTTCATAGGCTTGAAAGAGAAAAAAATTTCAGTATTAATTTTAATGTAAATAGGCATAAACACATCAGAAATAACCCCAAATAGGGAAGAGTAAATAGAGTCATCTACTGTACAAACTTAGTGGTAGATTGCAGTGGCAGTGGCCTAGCAGGGAACAAGTTAGAAATACCAACTCTTGACCTTCTGAACCGGAAGCTGGGGGGTGGGGATTTTTTGAGACATTCCCATTGTATGGCTCAGGCAGGCCTTGAACTCACAATCCTCCTGCCTTAGCTTCCCCAGTGCTGCAATTACAGTTGTATACTATCATGGCTATAAAATATAATCTCTTTCAAATAAGACCTTATTTTACAAGCTACTGTCAAGCTTTGATTTATAAAATGATTATATTCATTACAAAGTTTATAAACTCCTAAAGATGGTAAGTTGCTGTACACTTCTCTATATTAGTGAAAATAGCTTCCTAAAGAGCTCTTCTCAGAAACTTCATGTTAACTAAATCAAACACTTGACTAAAACGTCAACATTATTTTTGAGTTGTAACATTAAAAAAAACAGTTGGTTTATTGCAGAACAATTTGAGCCACATCAAAACTATAAATTGATAGTAATCTTAATAATTCTAGATCTTAACAACAAATGTGCAGGGGGTGCTGACCAGTTGTGACCAGTTTCAGCGCTGAAAGTGATCATTCAGCTGTGCACCACAGAAACTCAGCCAGACACTTGACTTCGGGACACCTGTGACCAAACTGCTGAATTATCTTCATCTGATTTGTAATAGTAGACTAGGTGCAATGACTGTTATTAGAATAACGAATGACAGAAGGGAAAAAAGGCATGAAAAGAACGTGTGCACTTTTTTTGGTCAGTCTGATTTACACAGATGTCTGTAAGAAGCCTCTATGCTTAGAAATACAGCTATTTCAGGGCTAGGGAAATAGCTCGGAAGTCTAAGCGCCTGCCCAGCAAGTGCAAGGACCTGGGTGCAATCCCTGGTACTGCATGCCATGCTGGCCCTGTGGCTGAGCCAAAACTGGACATGGTGGCACACAACTGTAATCCCAATGCTGGGGAGGCTGAGACAGGAGGATCACTACAAGGCCAAGCTGTGTAGTGAGACCCTATACCAAATGAATGAATGAATGAATAAATAAATAAATACGTTTTTTAAAAAAATACAGCTATTTCGGTACCTGATTCTGAAGTAGTATCATCCAAGAGTTTTTGTTGAATCAGATGAAGTTCATCTAATAGATTTTCAAATAAGTCATTAAGAAGTCCTGCTTTCTTACATTTTTTAAGAAAAGAAACCTTCATGATTGTATCTAAAAATAAAGAAAACATTTTTAGAAGGAAATGGTCTTAGAGTACCTAATCATATCACTTTATTGTTACTGCTTCAGACTTTGCATAGTAGGTGACTAATTAGTAAAATAACATATATCAGACCTTTGCCTTTTTTGTTAATTGCAATTTCATCAGACCTTATTTTTTCCTACTTGAAACAGCAAGTGAAATGTTACACAAAGTAAAAATAAAACTTCACTTATAGTAACTTCACAAATTAATAGTTTTCTAAAATTTATCTTCAATATCTAGGATGACAGTACCTGTCATCTTTTGGTCAGTTATATATTGTTATTGAATGTATTTCCTTAAAAAACAAGAAGTTATAGCTGTCACAGTGTGAGGGGTAGCATGTCATAGGCTTCTGAGCTCTGGCAAGCCTAGCTGTTGCTTGTTAAGAGGTGGATCTTCAAATTAAGAAAGGACCATTCCAACCCAAGTTATTTTGATGTGGTGGGGTTCTGAGGGAGTAGATACTTATAATATTTATAATCTCTATGACAAGTCTAGAAGAATAAAGATTAACATGTGATACCAACTTCTAAATGCATGGACCAACACTTTTAACATTTTTATAAGACCATGTTATACTTGTCACTGAGACCAAACCTGTGTGACTGCCAGACTCATCCTTCACTTGTGTTTCAGATCTGTCCACCAGCACTGTCTCATTGGGCTAGGAGAGAGAAATTAAAATTACCTCATATGTTAGTGGTGCCATTTAATACTACATAAAATAAAAACTAAGCTTTGTTGTATATAATTATAATGTTAATATCTTCTTTTTTTTGTATTTTTTTAGGGAAGGGTCTACAGGGTGTTCAGGATGTCACTACTAGATGGGACTCGTAGTGATCCTGTTTATAGCCTCCCAAGAGCTGGGATTACAGGCACATGCCACCACGCCCAGTCTCAGTTGCCATCTCAGCGAGCCCTGGGGGCAGGGCCGGCATGACAGGCCCAGGGATTGAAACCCCAGCCCCTGCGCTTAATCCACTGAGCTATTTGGCCGGCCCTTCAGAAAATCATGACAGTTACATATAGTACTAGCTCAGTTGTGAATCATGCAGCTGAGAAACACTTGGCTATTTAACAGTGCTCACCTGTCCCTCAGCTCCTTTTGGGGCCTTAAATACCATGTAAGGATGAATGCCCTAACTTGGTGCTAGAGGATATTCTGAGAGAGCTGTGGTAAGATTGTAAACTTCCAACTACTCCAGCTACTCCTCTCATTTTGGTTCTGTCATCTAGGAGTTATCTAAGCACTTCCTGAATACGGGGCTCTGCAACAGGGCATTTTTTTATTTTTTATTTTTTATTTTTTGGCAGATCCTGGGATTAAACCCAGGCCCTTGTGCTTGCCAGGGAAGTGCTTATTCCCCTGAGCCATCTCCCTGGCTCCCACAGGGCATTTTTAGGAGCAGTCTCAACTTGGACACAGGCCACAAATGAAGGTCATCTATTCCAGTGATTTGCATGCCTGTAATCCCAGCACTCTGGGAGAATGAGGAAGGAGGATTCAAGCCCAGCCTGGACAACTTAGTGAGGTTAGGATATAGCTTAGTGTGACGGTCTTGGGTTCAATCCCCAGCATCCCCAACCTCACACAAAAAGATTCTGTATGAAGAAATTTATTTATACATTTATTATGTAATGAAGAAATTTAAAACTGTAAGAAAATCAAAGTCAGGTTACCGGTACAGGAATGCCTGCGGGGAGACGTTTTTTCCTTCCTCTTTTCCTTTGCACTTTTGAACAATCAGCTAAAAATATAAACCATTTAAACGTTGGAACATATAAAGAGAAAAAGATTACTGTTTGAAACCATAAAATATGAAATGATAATATGTCAAAGGATTTTAAGAAGTCAAAAACATGGTAAATTTTAACTAAGATTTGTAACGCATGATAAAATATTAAAAGATCTTATAAATTGCTATGAAAAAGATAATGATTAGGTAGAAAATACACAGTCACAAAAGTCACAGCTTCTTAGAGTTGTCTTAGTTTGGTCCTATCACGAGGATGGAATATACTAGCAAATGGTAAAGAGAATATGTCTAGTTTCCCAAAAGAAAAGCCAGTCCAATGTATCACATAATGCACAAAGAAAATGATCATCTGATAGGTATGTAAAACTTCAACTCAATTTGTATTTTAATTCCTCAAGGCTAGTAAGTCAGACATTCCATGTCTTATCTAAATGCTTAGTTTTCTTTAAATGTGCTATATGAAATTTCAGAAACTTACCACTTTGAGTGATGTTTGATTTTGGAGCATGTTGTCGGCATAACAATCTGAAAATAAGCAATTTCAAAGAATCATTAAATATTTTAACATACAGTTTTCAAGTATGTTTATTTTCTTATGACTTACAAATGTTTCCCTCCACAGTCGCTAATAGTTTAAATATGTATTTTAGCTGAGTGTGGTAGCAACACACAAGTAATCTTATGGGAGGCTGAGGGAGGAGGATCACCAAAGTTCAAGGCCAGCCTGCACTACATAGTGAGACACTGTCTGAAAAACACACACACACACCCCTCAAAAAAAAAAAAAAAAAAAAAAAGCTACATAAATCAGCCCGTGATGGTGGGCACCTATAACCCCAGCACACTGGAGACTGAGACAGGAAGACTGCTGTTCTCCTGAGTTTGAGACCAGCCTGAGCTACTCAGTGAGTTCAAGGCCAGCTTGGTCTACAGGAGACTGCATCTCAAAACAAAAATATACACTTTAAATATATATTTAAATAGCAAATTCAGATATGGCTGCCAGATGTATTCTGTGCTTTCCAAGCTTTAGAAAGATTATGTTCCATGCAGGAGTGCTGAGTGAGTATTTTGAACAATGCTCGTTCATACACAGAGTAGGGGCATGCGACTTGAGAGAGGCACTTAAAAATCCAAAACTTTTCTGCTTTTGTGGTGCTGGGATTGAACCCAGAGACTCTGCATATCCCTCACCCCCAACTCTTGTAACTTTGTATTTGGAGACAGTCTTGTTAAATCGCTAAATTGCCCAGATTGGACACAACCTTGCGATTCCTCTGCCTCAGCCTCCCAGAGTGGTGGGATTACAGAGTTACGCTACTGTGCCTGTTTCATATGTCTAAGACATGCGAATTTCCAACTGACACACAAAAATCTGACTTTCAAAGATAAACAGCACAAAACTGCATGCATTAATTAGGGGGAAAAGTACTTTGTAAAGCCAACACATCTGCATCCGATTTTACAGTTTCTTCTACAAGAAAAGCAGCATGGCAAGCAAGGCAAACTAAAAGGTAAGTAAATTGTAACGAGCTGGTCAGGCCCCATTTTCTTGGCACCCTTTCTTCTATCTTAGGTCAAGCTAGTTTCCCTACTATGGGGCTGACAGCCAGGATGCAGCACTGAGGGACTGTACAGCTGCCTCCGTGCAGCCTTCCCCACCCATCAAAATTAATCTCCTCCCCTTTAGGTCCTGGAACCTCCAGGTGCTTGCATTTGCCAAGAAGTTAGGTTTCTTCAAACTTAGAAGAACTAGCAGATACTACAGTGAACTCTATCCCACGATTCCCCACTGCCAGCAACCCCCACCTTAGGGCCTAGCTCGTTTAAAAGGTCTCCTGCTCCCCCTGTTGCTGTGTGCATCCATTCACGCAGGCCTTTCTGGCTCTCCTCCCAGGTGCTGACCTAGCTGCAGTCTCAATATTCTTTGTATGTATGGACAAGTTACTAAGGCTCAGGGTCTCTATCACCTCATCTGTAAGTGGGGATAGTAACATCAGTCACCTGGACTGTTGTGCAGATTAAATGAGTTTACATTTGTAAAGCTCTTAAAATATGCAGGCATAAACTTGTTATTAAGTAAACAGAACAGAGCCTGTATCACTAAGAGTATATATGCCCATTGTAAGGGGGTGGGGCCCTTAGCCTCTGAAGGGAATTAAAAATCATTTTAAGAATACTAAATATTACAAAAATATTAAAGAAAGGTTCTGACATTGATCTTATTTAGAATATTATGACAAGTAACTCTCAGTATGATGGTGGAAATTACATTTATTCTACACACAAGATGAGAAAGTTACACTCAGCTGTTTTATAGACCTCTCCTGTTTGTAGAGAACAGGTTTGAACTGCTTCCTATCTTGCTTACCCTTTAGGCAAGTGGTAGTGAACCTATGGTAGTCAGCTGTTATCACTGAAAGCTCTAAAAAGTATGCTGTCATTGCTTCAGGCTATTTGTGCCACTGTGACAAGTGATGCTTTCTACCAGGAAGGATAGGTTGCAAGGAAATTTTTTGTTTTTGAGATGGTCTCCTTTCAAGGCTATCCTTGAACTTGCGGCAACCCTCCTGCCTTAGCCTCCCACTTGCTGGGATTTCAGGCATGCACTATGCCCAGCTGCAGGGAAATCTTTAAAAAGGAAAACAAAACTTTGCATTATTTTGTTCCTGTGATACTCAGAAGAGATGTAAAGTTGGGTTCTAACAGAGTGTCCTTCCCAAGCCATGTTCTCATGTGAAAAGCTACATAAATTTAGCTTCAAAAGTTGCCTTGTCTTAATCTATCCCCTTCTTATCCCAATCCCCCAAATGTAGCTTTAAAACAGTTTTATTACTTATAAATTCCTCGGAGTCCATCAGCTTGTAGAAATGCCTTGTCCTCCATGGCACAGAAAAAGTGATAATTCTTGGCACAGTATTTTAAGTCACATCCCACGGTGGCTCCTTTTTGACGACAGTGTGTACATTTCTACAGAAGAATAGATTTTACTAAATAGCATGTGTTTTTTCATAATCTTCTCTTATATCTAACAATATAATTAAATATTTAAACCAGCAGCCCTAAGTTTTTATTTTGGACATCAACTGCAAAGTCCCATTAGTCCTTACAAATGTACTGGCCACTCATTTCAAAATTTTGGCAAAAACTCAGGCAACTAGGTCGTTTGGCACACTGTTTTATAATGATCTCATTGAAAGCACAAAATAGTTTTTGAACAAAGAGACTTCTAAAATGGGCGTGAAAGTCCACACCTCTAATCCAGAACTTTGGGAGGCTGAGGTAGGCAGACTGTGAGTTCCAGTTCAGACAGGATTTAGTAAGATCCTGTATCAAAATTTTTTATAAAAAAGGCTGGGGATGTAGCTCAGTGCAAAGGCCCCTGGGTTCAACTCCCAATAGTAAAAAAATAAAAACCTAAGAAGCAGAGCTGGCAGACTTTTCCAGCTCTCAGCAAGAGTTCCAGCCAGCAGCAATGAGGCTGAGCAATAGCAGCTCCTATCCTTAGAGCTATGAGCCAGTCATTCTACCTTGCAAACTCACATTCCTCCCTGAGGAATGACTGTCCTACGGAGTTGCTGTTGTCAGTACAAGATAAACTAAGGGGAAATTTTTGGTTTGGAGTGTTATGTAGTAGGGCCAAAAAACAAAACCAAAACAAACAAGCTGAGCAAAAATAGTCTTTACTGTTTTTCCCCCCCAAAAGTCTTATCTCACTATATATTCCAGGCTATCCCTGAACTATCGATGTAGCCCAGACTGGTCTTAAACAAGGTGATCCTCCTGCTTCGGACTCCCTGGTGCTGTAATCACAGGCATTGACCACCATGCCTGGCTAATAACAATGTCTCAGTTTTCACTTATTTAAACCCTTACTTTATTTCTCTGTCAGTTACCTTGCATGTGAAAGTGGCATCGAGATAACGAGGTGTGCACTGTGTGACCACAGAAACCTAGCTGGTTGAAGGGACTCCAGCCACACTCAAGGCCGAGTCACCCCATACTCTGGCTGAACAAGACAGTGCTCATCCACTATCCCAGATAGTACAAGTAAGAACATAGTTAAAAATCCAAATGTAGGTGGGAAATAAAGGTGGAATTCCTTATCAGCGTATATAAGAACAATAATTTTAGGAAGACCAACTGGCTATTGGTATAGGAAAGAAACACTTATACTCTACCCAGATTAACATCTAGCTGGATAAAGGAAAAATAAATTTTAAATTAAGAAATACAGAGGGAGGACTGGTGAGACAGCTCAGTAGACTAAGCATCTGCTTAGGCAAGCACAGATATCGGGGTTCGATCCCTTGCACCACATGCTGCTCCGGCCCTGCCCCTGGGCACAATGAGTAGGCCACCAAGGCCTGGCGTGGTGGCACACGCCTGTAATCCCAGTGCTGGGGAGGCTGAAAATAGGAGGATCACTAGGAGTCCAAGTTGTATAGTGAGACTCTATACATTAAAAAAAAAATACAGGGGAAAAAAAGCATAATATTGGTGGGTGTGGTGGCACATGCCTGTCATCCCAGCACCAGGGAGATGGTATTAGCTGGGGTAGGGAGTTGGTTAAGGCAGGAGGATGGCTGTGAGTTTGAGGCCAGTCTGAACCAACAACAAGACCCTGTCTCAGAAAAAAAGACATGATTCTGAGCCCCAGTAAGGCAGAAAACATAGAAGCAACGCAGAAAAGGCCAGATCTGACTATATAAAAACTATTTACTTCCTTTTTTATGTTGGCAGATGCCATCTAAAATTAAAAGGAAAAGATAGAAAAATGTTTGCAGCATGTTAGTGTTAAAATTCAGGTAACCCATAGAAAAAGCAACAGGCAAAGTGCACACATACAAATGGCTAGTAAGTGTTTGAAGTTTGTATTTGTATATAGCACTTATGTAGTCAGTAGTAGCTATTATGCGGGACTATTTGTGGATAATGGAAAATAGCAAACAAAATAAAGGTATTCTGGTCACATGAAATTCATATTCCAGTAGGGAGAATATACAGTGGTCAAAAATACAGCAAATTTTAAAATATCTCATGGTGCTCTGGGAGTATAGCTATGTGGTAAGGCATTTTCCTACCACACACAAGAGTCTGGCTTTGATGTCTAGCATGGCAAAAAACAACAAAATTCAGATAAAAATAAAAAAAATCTCATAAATGTGCTTCATGCATTGTATAGAATTAAAATTAGGCAAAGTAGCCTGATGTGGTGCAAACCTGTCATCCAGCTCTCCTGCTAAAGCAGGAGGATTGCTGTGAATTCAAGGCCAGCCTTGGGTATATAATGAGTTCAAGACCAGCAGGCCAAATAACAGTATCATTGGGTCGCTTCTTCAGATTATGTAGTTAGTACAGTATACCTTTAAAGGAAATGATAGAAAAGCACAGATTTGAATATTAAGGGCTCTAAGAGCAGACATAATAGTACACACATGAAACAGCACTTAGGAGGCTGAGGCATGAGGGTCACTGAGATAGAGGGATGCCTGGGCTATACAGTGAGTTCAAGGCCTATCTGAAAGTTCAGGCTGTCCTTGAAGAAAAGAAAAAAAACAAACCAAAACAAAAAACTCCAAGCATGCATGAGGACAAGGGAATGCGCTGGGCATCAGACCTATAATCCCTGCCACTTAAGGGCTGAGGCAGGAAAATCGCAAATTCGAAGCACACCTGGGCAAAAGATATGTCTCAAAAAAGGGCTGGAGATCTGACTCAGCCCTGGTTTAATTCCTTGAACAGCAAAGCAGGGAGAGAAAGACTGTAAGTGGAGGCTCTTAAATCCTTCAGGTTGAGTCTCCCTCTGGCAAGCTTACTAGAAGGACAAGGAGAACAGTCTCTTGTTTCTAGAGTCTCAATCGGCCAGAGGAAGACTCAGGTTAGGGCCTGCTCATGTCCCCTCCTCATGGAAGGGGGTTACAACAGGAGTAAGGAGGTGGGCTTTTATCCTCATGGAAGGGGAACAGAAAATGCTCTGTTTTGAGATTACTCTGACTGCTGTATGCAGTGGGTAGGGACAGAATGAACTGGGTAGGATGGCGGGAGAGAAAATGTCAGTAATCATCTGTGACCATTAAGAGAGCTAAATTAGCCTTCATTTAGATTAGCAATGCTGAGAGAAAAGTGGGTAGAGGACACAAGGTATGTCTGGAATGTGTCACTGATGGGCATAACCCTGGGCTGGGAGTTGATGAGGAAAAGATAATGCTTAGATTTTTGCTTTGTCTGGCAGATAAGTGATGCCTGTTTGCAGCGGTGAAGGAGCAGCAGGTTTGGATGAAGTGTTAGGGGATGGGACTGTATTATGGGTGAGCTCAATATGAGATGCTTCAGGTGTCGTTGGACATGTATCAGGTTGGCAGTCTGGAATTCTAGGGAGGAGGGGACAGGGCAGAAGATACAGATTGATTTGCAAGTCCCTAACATATAGATGGTATTTAAGCCAGGGAACTGGATGAAGCCATCAGGAAAGATGTTCAAGTCCAGGAAGGACACCAGGAATCTCTTGGCATCTTGAGTGGCTCCAAATGTCCAAATTTGGGCAGAGAAGGACGAAGCAGCTACGGTGTCTCAGAAGAATTAGCCAGAAAGGTAGGAGACACCTGGAATGTGTGTCTAGGAAGTTTTTTAAAAGGTTCTTCAAGATTCTGGGTGTGGACAATTGAGTGAGTAATATAGTTTAGGGAGGTCAAATAAGAACAGCCATTAGCTTGAGGCTCAGAGGCCAGGTTAGAGGTTTTAAAGAGATGAGAGGATGTAAAACAGTAAATGTGGAGGGTAAAGCAAAGATACAGTACAAGAGCAGTGGTGAAGGCACTTCTGAGGTTTGTGGCCATGAATCTGAAGTCAGTAAGCACATTTGTGTTTTCTTTTCCAGTTCAGCTGCTCAAGTGCTGGGGCTGCTGAGTGTATGCAGATAGCCAATGCACACGTTTACACAGGTTTGGGCTCTGCCAGCCAGGTAATTGAGGAAGTGGTGATTATGTGTAGTGGGAGAGGGCACCAGCGTGCCTGGAAGCAGGCCTTTCTGTGGATGCAGAGATGACAGGTGGCCAGACTGCAAAGGGACAGGTAAAGAGCGGCTAGACCTGGGGGAGGCCTAAGGAGAAACAATGTTCAGCCTTTCTAGTGATTAGGGAGTAGAAGTCACCAATACTAAAACATCCAACTCTTATATCACACTTACCAAAATTAACAAGGGTAGCAATATTTATTCCCTGTTAAAAGTGCTTTTTGTCAAATATGCACATAAATGTAAACTTGTAAGACCTTCCTCAGGGGACAGTTTGTCAGCATAGTTCAATGTATGCTCTATCTCTGACCTACACTCCCAGCCCTTTTATTTTTAGAAATCTTACTAAGGCATGTTGCTTGTACTCAAACTTGCAATCCTCCTGCCTCAGCCTGAGTATCTGGGATCACAGGTGTGCACCACCATGGCCAGCATGGTTCAGCATTTTTAATTGACTCAGCAATTCCACTTCCAGGAGATTGCTATAGAACACTCACACAGGCACACAGGACACATGTACAAAGATGCTTGTTGCAGCATTACTTACAGTGAAGACCCAGAATACAATCATTATTTGACCGCATGGCTTCATGAATTATGTTATACTCTCTAGAATTCCAAGAATCAGTACAGAAAATAAATACCATGGAGTCACATGCTTAGTTTTACAAGCATACCCTGTTCTTCGTAGCTTTTCACACTTCTGCATAACCCATTCTCTCTTGCTGGAATACCTTTCCAGTCTTCCTTTCTCTGCCTCCCCCCTCCCATACACACACTAGGAAGGAGGCTGCTTGAGAGGGTGATACTGACCCTTCTTAAGGCACTTATCAGGCTGTCCACTCACAGGCCTGTCTCCGAGTGTGTGCTGTGTACCTGCCTATACATTCCAAAGCTTCAATAAACACTTATTAGGGAGTGATTACTTTTGTGACTTTGCACATCGCTGTTTTACCCAACACTTCCTGCATATCCCAAAATCCTCTCAGTAGGGAAGTCTGCAACCCCAAATCTGCAAAACCCCTCAGGTCCACCTACTTGTTCTAATTATACTTTTAGTTAATTTCCCTCAATCCTCAGACTGGGGCCTTCGTATGTGGACAACCTCTGGAATCTAAGGGTGGGTTCTCATAACTCCATCTAATTAACCCCATACAAATCCAGATAGCAAACAGCAATAAAAATGATCTTTCAATAGAGGTCTGCTACTTTCTAAGTAGAAGGGGCTCTCTATTAACTCATGTTATCGGACTCTAGTGGCCTCCCTGTTGCCCTGTCAGTAGAAAGTATGCCACTGTTCCATCTTTCCAATGACTAACATAATATAAACATCAATGGTAGAATCTACACTCCATTTTATGCCTAAGCTCAGAATCTACTATAGTACTACACCATCTGAGAAAGCATAATTTGTAGAATTCTATCTGGACTGTCATCATTTATTCTGGACTTTCACCTTCTACAAAATGAGCAGCATTAAACCCACAGACCCACAGCTCAGAGCTTGCACACAGAAGTGCTGCTGATGCTGACATCTTCAGAAGGTTAAATGTCTGTTCCTGGTCATTCATCTTACTGTGACTGTGCTCAGGGCATGAGGCATTTGCACTTGCTGTTTTGCCTGCAGAGCTGTGAATGAGCTTTTACTGAGGAAGTTAACTCAACAGACCAGTAGGGTAATTCCTCAGCATTCCTCCCTTCCTGGTGGCTTCTTACAACTTCAGCTCAAGGGTAGTTCATGATCATTTCTGGCCACACCTAGTAACCAGTGCAGAAAGAGTGTTGTGACCACGAAAGCTTGATGCTTCAGTTGCTGCATGTAGCCACCCTATGGCTGTAAGGAGATAAACTGAGGCTGAGGATGGGAGGGCAGGGAAGAACCTGGGCCCTCGATGACATCATCAGGCCACTAAGCTGCTGTTTCTTCTGGTTAAGTAAGAAAACAAAACATTTTTTATTAAAGACAGTTTGGGTTAGGGTTTCTTCCACTTATAGCCAAAAGCATTCTGACTCTTACCTACTTTATTAATGAAGTGGGAATTTAAAATACAGAATGTTCACTTAAATCTACGTTTCTAATACAGTCCAAGGTGCTTCCCTATCCCTAGTTTATCAATCAAGTAACTTTCTTTTGAAAGTACCTCTGAGTGTATGGGCATCCTTTATTTTTATTTTTATTTTTTTAAAGTTTATTTATTTATGTGTGTGTGTGTGTGTGTGTGTGTGTGTGTGTGTGTGTGGCCAGCTCAGCCCACCAGGGGGCGGGGCTGGCTGGCATGT